AACCCGAATGACCCAAACTCGAATAAACCGTAGTTTTTGGGTCAGGTTGGATTGTTTACTATGTCGACCTGCTAGACCCGTTTCATTGCATATGTCACTCTCAAAATGATAAAATCACTCATACTTGGGTGAGATGTTTAAAAAAAATAATTAGGATTTTAAAGACAAGTTTGGAATGTTAAGATAATCAAACATCATTTGTTTATAGTAGTAGTATTACTTTCGTCATTGTTTTTTGACAATTTGTGCAATTTGCATTTCTTTTCATTAGCATGGAAGAAGTTAAACATTTGTTAATTGATATGTGCTAAGCAAACTATTGTCGCACATACGTAAAAATTTGTGTTCTTTAAAAATTTATGAAGCATGTTTGATATTGTTTCTGAGAACGCTCATGACCCGAAATGACCCGAAACCCGATGGGTTGGGTCAATATTTGACCTGAAATCAACAAACCCATCATGACCCGACCCCTGAAGACCCGTAACCTGAGATTCCCAACCCGACCCGATTTCCAGGTATAATGATTTTGCATTCTTGTGCTTAGCATCCTAGGGTTGTGCATAATTGTGCTTAGCACCCCTAAGTTTGTGCATTTAGGTGCTAGAAATCTAATTCGCCAACTTAGCCTAGTTTAGAGAGGAAAATCCCCCTTTTTAAGGGAGACTCAATCGAGTTGGTTTTCCTTCCTCTTTCCAAGCCACCTAAACTAGGTTGAGTAAGGGCAATCCTCAATATTAAATTGAACAAGTTGATTAATCGTGGTTAAACCGTCCGACCTTAGAATTGAGTGAGGAAGTAAGCCGATTACCGATTGTCTAAACCTAGAGGGTCGAGTGACTCGACCTTTCATCCTCACCTCGGTTTAGCAATCGAGACTGTGGTCCCCGACCACATACGCTTTCCTCTGCGGTTCACGATTAGCGTGCCCAAGGCAATCGTTCCAACCCACGTAGCATAGTAGCGGTTTAGGGGGAAGCAAAACCCAAGTGACTTTCCCACAAAAAGAGTTTTCAACCCAAATTACTTTTTCTTTCTTTCATTTCAATTGGAAAACCTTTAAACCAAAGTTTTATCTCTAGATAATGATTTCAACAACCGAAGTAGGGGTAGACAGACCGGCCCAGGTCGATATATAGATACTTGCTTTATACTACACCCGATTAGAGTTTCAAAACTTGGGCTCTAATTGGGATTTAATTGTAGTGTAGATTCGAGCAAGTCATACATCTTCAACCTAAACACTAAGGTTCTATGGTTTCGACTAAGAACCTTCTCTACAAACCAAGGCCACTAGCATCGGCCAAAAGCCTTAATTCTCCCTTCCAAACGATCACCCACCATGAACTACATTGAAGCACTATTCCTCGGTCTACTCTTGCTATCATCTTTCGATTTGGTAGTGAAGGAGTTCTAAAACAATGTAGGGGTTTCAATGGCTTGGGTTCCAAGAAACCCCCTAGAGCATGTAATTTGGTTTTTCGTGGCACTCTCTACTTTATCTACCCCATTTTATTATCTCTTTCTCGTTTCTCTTTTCCTTTCTTTTTTCTTTTTCTTTTCGAGGGGGGTACTAGAGAGTAACAACACTTGCCACCTATACTTTTAACGACCAATGCTCTCTTTTTGAGGAACTAACTCCAACACTACACTTCATTTTTTTCTCAACCCTAGCAAAGACCGCACGTGAACCTCCTATGTAGAACCTCTATGGAAACTCAAAGGTGAGAGCTCCGGGACACAAGGATGACTCATGTTTAGACACAAAGAAAGGATTAGGATCGTTCTATTAACACCACTAAGCTCACATGCACGAAGCTCCTAAATTGAGAACGACCCATGAAGTCACATGGCTCAAAGGGGTTGACTGAGGGATAACACATTTTGGGACAATCAACATTTGGGTGTGGACTAATCCTATGCCTCCATCCTACTCGCTACTAACAACTGTGATGCTACACACCGTGTTGAGAGGGAACTACCACACCAGAACAAAACAATCGACTCAAAACTCATAGACTACCCGCCCCCCACACACACTTAAACTCGACATTGCCCTCAATGGCGTAAAAGAAGGGGATAGAACGATGTTACCGGTCAAGTTGTGAATGTTTGTGCTCGGGAGCGGAGGGCGGGTGAGATCCGAAAGAGAGGTGATAGCTCGCCCTTTTAACCTCCTCGTTCTCCTCCAATAATGAGAGGTGATAGCTTGCACAATCCCATTCCAACTTCTCCAAAAGTGTCAAGTCGGGAGGAGGGAGGGGTTGGAAATCCGCGTTAGAGCTTGTTCTTGTAAAATTCTCCGCGACAAGCTCCAATGGACTTCGATTCGGGTTGTGGGACATCCAAGTTCGAGCACCCTTCATCGGTGCCTCGAACAAACCGCTCCACCATGAGCTCCAATTTACTCTTTGGCTCCGGTTGTGGAGTGGTACATGGTCTTGATGATTGTCCCATGAAGGCTTCCATTGCCAACTCCAACTTGGATTTCTCCTCGACTTGAGGAGGGAAGTTTTCTTCATATGGAGGATCTTCTTGAAATCCCCAATGGTATGCTTGTTCTTCGTGGAAGGGAGGTTGATAATAGAACCCGGATCCTCGACTTCCCTCTTCTTGGTTACTCCATGAAGCTCCGGGGTACCCCCATTCGGGTGGTTGTTGATACCCCCACATGTTGTAGAAGCCATTGGGATCCATGATTCAACCTACATAAACAAAAACACAAAAAGAAAATCAAACAAACACAAACCACCCTTCAAGACGAAGAGTGGGTAAACCAATCATAACACGAAACACAAAACACAAAACACAAACCAAAAGATAAGATAGAAAATGCTAGATCAACATTAAGGGACGTTTTCAAAAGAATGGACCGCGGTTCCCCGGCAACGGCGCCAAAAACTTGACTCGCACGAAACTACACCACAAATTTAATCCCGACTAGAGTCCAAGTTTTTAAACTCTAGTTGGGTGCAGTATAGAGCAAGTATTTAAATTGTCAATCCGGGCCGATCAATATACCCCTACTTCAATTGCTTAGGTTGTTATCTAGCAAACAACTTTTGGGTTTAGAGCTAATGAAACTACAAACTAAATAGGCAAAGAAAAGTAAATAAAGGAAAACTCTAACTAAGGGAGCTTCACCCAGGAGTTGCTTCCCCCTAACTAGCTACCAAGACTCGTTGGATTGGAACGATTGCTTTGGGCACGTTAATCGTGAACTGCATAGGAAAGCGTATGTGGTCGGAGACCACAGTCTCAATTGCTAAACCGAGGTGAGGATGAAAGGCCGTGTCACTCGACCCTCTCGGTTTAGACAATAGGTAATCGGCTTACTTCCTCACTCAACTCAAAGGTAGGACGGTTTAACCACGATTAATCGACTTGTTTAATTCAATATTGAGGGTTTCCCTAACTCAACCTAGTTTAGGTGGCTTAGAAAGCGGAAGGAAAACCAACTCAATTGAGTCTCCCTTGACAGGGGGATTTTCCTCTCTAAACTAGGCTAAGGTGGCAAATTAAATTACTAGCACCTAAACGCACAAACTTAGGGGGTGCTAAGCACAATTATGCACAATCCCTAGGATGCTAAGCAGAAAACATGCACAACCCTTAAGTTGCTAAGCACAAGCATGCACAATCATGGTGAATAATGTCTCAAACATCGAATTAACCAATACCCAATGACAATCATTCAATCTAGACAAGTAATTACAAAGTATTAGTTAGGGATCTACAACACCCAAAGAGAAAAGAGTGAGTTTCTAGAGAGAGAGAGTGAGGGATTACAAAGTTGAGCTCAAGATCTTCTTCTTCTTCTTCTAGGCTTGAATCTTCCACCCAAGCCTCCAATGATGCTCCAAGATCACTCCAGCTCTCTCTCTCTCACTAGAACTCCCCTTTGGTGTTTTGGTTGAAACCCTAGAGAAAGAAAGTGTTTCTTTTCCCCAAAAACAGCTCCCTTTTCTCTCTCCCCGCTGTTGTCTTCATATTTGCCCGAAAGAGACCAGTTCATGGACGCGTTGGCAAGTTCACGGCCGTGAACACCTAACTGCGTCCGTGAACTCAGTGTCGTCCCAAAACACGCTATTTCACTCTGCTGGGTTCACGATCAATGGCCTCAGTTCACGATCTTAGAGATCGTGAACTGCCTTGTCGTTAGTAACTGCTGGAACCTCGTTGGACTGCTCGATGTTCACGGTCTTAGGAGACCGTGAACTGCCTTGTCCGGCCGTGAGTTGTGGCTGTTTCCTGGGACGCCTTCACTTCACTACTACGAGGCAATTGTCATTGTCGCTTCGGGCTTTTCTTTGGTTTTGGCACTTTTTGACCTCCAAAAATCCCAAAACTCATCCTCGACCCTTCCACACATGTTAGGACTTGAAATGTATCAAAACAAGCACAACCTAGCGTGAAATATTTCGAGGAACGATGAAATGCTAAGCTAACCGAATAAGAAATGAGGGGTAAAATGTGTAAATTTGGGCCCGAATCACCAAGATTAGGGTTTGGCGAGGGTTGATGATTCGTAGTTTGGCCCGGGGTGAAATTGAGACGTTGTTTGGATTGCGTAGTCTTGAAAGACTGTTGGGTAGGGTTCAATATGTAGGAAGAAGATGGCGTTGGAGCCATCTCTGTTGCCGAAACGAAAGAGGAGGATGCTTGAATTGGGTGGGAATTTGTGGAAGGTTAAATTAAATATTGAAGCCACGAGGAGAATCTGGGGCTGATGGCTACTACAGCAAGACTCAATGACTAGGAGCGGACGACTACGTACGACAGTCGGGAGAGTTTCGTTGGGGAGGGGTTGAGTTGAGAGGGAGTCGAATGGGTGGTTAGAATGAAGAGGGAGAGAGAGAGAGAGAGAGAGAGAGAGAGAGAGAGAGAGAGAGAGAGAGAGAAATAAGACGAATGGATAAGACTATTAAATTTTATTTACCTTTTTTTTAATAGAAGAACCAAGTGGAAATATAAGCTGAAACCGCCGGTGAGAAGGACGAATGGGGAAGAGGCTATGCCGGGTGAGAATGACGACTAGAGGAGAGACTGTGGTAGCGAGTGCAGTGCTGGAGGAGAACGATAGTGGCAAGACAACGGAGTCGGGATTATATTGGATGGTGTCTCTTGGAGGAGGACGTCGACGGCCGATTGGGTTGATGCAGACGACGGATTTCGGCAGCATAGAGGAGGGAGACATGATTTTGTTTTGTTTGTGAAGTAATTTCCACTTTTAAGTCAGGACAATAATAGTAAAAGCGTGGGGCTTACTCTGATGCTGCGGTCTTGGATATAATGTAGCATCCATTTCTCTTTGTGTGATTGGAAGAAAAGTAGGTCTGGTTCACCTTCAAGAAAGGTCACCCAAACCGCCCTTGCATATGGGCAGTCCTGGATCACATGTAGCGTTGTTTCTTGGCCATTACCACAGACTGGACAGGTAGTTATTTGCGTGAGATGCCTCCTTTTTAGGACAACATTTAGTCGTTCATTACGCTAAAATGAATTAATATATAGTAAAACAAATTAGGCAGGAGTGCCATAGTTCCGTTTATAATGCTCGAGGGAAATTCAAAATTCAAACACATATAAGTTGTGGATGGGTTAAAAGAGTTTGACGATCGAGTCCGCTAAGTTATTGTATGAGAGGAGAGAAGAACTTAACCTATAAAGAGTGGATGTGTGCCTCTGAAGAGCATGATATGATATCTGGTTAGGTCAATTCGTGATGTCTTTGTCTTTTTCTTTGTGATGAGTGCACTAATCATATTGGAATAAGAAGAACTTGAGGGATTTGACATTATGGGGAGATGAACAAGATGGTTGGAGCAATGCCTGGAGTATTAGCAAGTGAATCTAGTAATTCAGCCAAATTATTGCTATAGGATGCCTTACCTTGCCAAACTATATAAGAATTATACGTGATAAGTATCCTTGCATTTTTAAGTACCCCTTCAATATATGCTTATTGTTTGTACAATTTGCATATTAATAATGCATATGGGTAAGTATAATTACATATTTTTAAGGCCACTGGACAAGTCGCCGATCATCTTTTTTTGATAGTACACTTCCCCTCTCTTAGGACTATCAATTACGACAAATGATATCATTTGATATCATTTTATGACCTAAAATCGGGAGATCGCTTAGATAAATATATTTCTTTCAAACTTAATACTTTTCTTCTTTGTCAATGACATAGGTGCTCACAATGATTGTCGTAACGAATCGTAGACAATCAACTATACATTGCAGTTGGAAAATGAATAAGCCATTTTTGATACTTGATTAGAATATAACTAAAAACCATAAAAATGACCTAATTTCTCCAACCATCCCGGCGCAGAGCCCGAGCAAAGAAATCTATTATCATATAAGTTGATTATTTTGTATGACCAACAATCATTGCAAATGTGAAGTTATCAATATAGCAAGCCCATGTATATATTGTGATATCCAGTTTACTCATGAAATTCAACTTCTAATTTTTCACATCAAATGTATGATTCTTTTGCATATATAATACCAATTCGCATGGAAAGTCAGAGTATGATGAATTCTATTTGTTCTCCAACTATGAGGTATCGGAAAAAAAAACAGATATTTACAAATTTGTCTAGTAATAATGAAAGATACAAACTTTGAGAAGTTTGCTTCAAGTTTTGTTCGGCGGTCCAATTGTTTGAACTATGCTTTGGGTCTTGCTGGGTTTTGGGTTGTTCTAAACCTATGTTTAGATTTTTTTGTTTTAGTAGGTATGTTCCTTCTTTTCAGCATTGTATCAACTCAATACGTCGTGGTCGTTTGGATTGAATGAGGCAGTTAGACACAAAAGACTCATTTTAGGAAATGAGTCAATTGATTGAGGAAATTTGCCAAAAATCTATCATTTGGAATGGGTTGTGGGATGGGGATATGTGGGTTAGTCCTTTTGGTGAATTACACATCTATCCTTACTCATCCACAAACAAAAGACATACTTCCTCACCTTCCACCTACCCACCCACCACTTTTCCCTTCTCTTTGTCAACTCTCACGCTCTTCTCCGATGAAACAAAATCATGAGAGGCCATTAATGAATCAACTTGTTCCTTCGTTCAAAAGCATTATCGAGATTTTTCGAAACCTCAATTCCAAGCACCACCTCGCCTGAAAGTGGTGGCTCTCCTTAGGTCCAAAAAAGGAGTCGGTTTGGGGAGGAATCTGGTTAGGGATTTGGAGAGGCGCCGCCTGATGTGCACTCCGACCCTTTATTGAAGGAACTCAGGGTTTGCATCACCGTCACCACCACATAACCAGCAAAATCTAGAACTATCCGTCCTCGTTCAAGAAACAGAGATGGAGAAGCAAGAGGTGGCGGATCCAAAGCTTCATCGCAGACTAATGCAGTGGCAGCTGATTGAGTCTCCCAAGACCGGTGATCCGTAGTAAGCTCGACCGCTGTTAAACCGATCCACGCCGACCCAGATCATATCCTCGCTCTTCACAAGCCAAATCGAGAAAGGTAGCCAAAGTTCTTCGCCTGCCAGTGAGAAAGGGAGGAAAGAGAAGAAAGAAAAAGAGGGGAGTTGGTTGTAAGGAAAGGATCACTGATTTTCTCGCCGATGTAGATCATCCTCTGCCAGACAGAAAGAGATGAACAAGAGGTGAGAAGATGTAGCGGTTGGGAAGGAAAGGGAAAAAAGAAAGAAGGATAAAGTTGGAAAGAGGGGATGAAAAACGAGTCAATGCCAATTACCTGCCACCCACCCAGAATATTTGAATTGACCGCTAATGAATCAATTAGAATTGACCCGGTATAGATTGCTCTATTTTATTTTTGGCTTGCCAAATGAGACAATTTGGCCCAATTGTTTCATTTTGAGGCAATTGGAGCAAATTGACTCATCACTTTGATCCATCCAAACGACCCCGTCGTGTTTTGTATTTGCTGAAACGACCAATCGCTAACTGTGAATGTGATTGTGAACCATCACTTTCTTTTTTCCTATTTTACCTTTTGGGATCGTACATGGGCGCTGGGCCGTGCTTGGGCCAGCACGGCACGGGCACACTTCGGGCTCATTTATTTCGTGCCGTGCTTGGCACGGCCCATCAGTTTTCGTTCCGTGTCATGCAAGCCCATTTGTTAACTTTGCTAGGCCCGACCCAGGTCCGGGCACTGTTCGAATCGTGCCGTGCCTATTCGTGCTCGTGCCATGCTCGTATTCGTGTTTAATGAAAAGGACGAAAACAAAAGAGAGAATGAAAAATAAAGTGAAAATTGGACGGAGGAAGATAGTATTAATCGATAATGTTTGAGAAAAGTAACAAATTAGGAGGAAAAGAAAATTGGAAGTATAGCGAGTGCGATTTGGCTTTGTTTAATTCTTAATCCATTTTTACTTATGTTAGTAATTACATATATATCTTTATGACACTTCTAACAACAACAAATAATTATTTTTCTACTTGTGCTTTGTAATATTTGAACCTATAATTCTTTTTATATTTATTTTCTATCAAATAAATATTTTTTTCGTGCCATGTTCGTTCTTATACTCAATAAAGTCTCAAAAATATTAGGCCCGACACGACCCACTTATATACCGTGTCGTGCCCATGTCGCGCCCGTGCCTATGAAGTTTAGGCCGGGCACAACCCATAAATTATTCGTGCTCGTGCCGAGATGGCCCATTTATTTCGTGCTCGTGTCGTGCTCACGTACAAAATTATCAAACTCAGGGTAAATTACGTATAAAATAAAGACTGTTTAATAAATATATGTCGCGTACAGCTATAGAACATGGATCTGAAGGCAGTCTAGCGGAAATGACACTGCATGTTTCTCTAATTAACCTGGGTTCGATCCTGGAGGAAGGTAAAATTTTACGTTTTTAAACTTGTTAAAAGTCAAGTGCTTTGAAAGTAGTTCAAGTAACTTCTTCAACTTTTAAATTATTATTTTTAAAGAATCTCTCAGTTATATATTGATCATTGCATTTAATCATATAACTTTCTTAATTTGTGTTTATAAGTCATGTGACTTCAAAATAGATCAAGTAACTTCATCTAAATTATTATTTCTAATAAATATTTTATTTATATATTGGTTATTTCATTTTTTTCAAACAATAATACTTTTGAACATTCATTTAAAAGTCAAGTGCTTTGAAAGTAGTTCAAGTAACTTCTTCAACTTTTAAATTCTTATTTTTAAAGAATCTCTTAGTTATATATTGATCATTGCATTTAATCATATAACTTTCTGAATCTGTGTTTATAAGTCATGTGACTTCAAAATAGATCAAGTAACTTCATCTAAATTCTTATTTCTAATAAATATTTTATTTATATATTGGTTATTTCATTTTTTTCAAACAATAATACTTGTGAACATTCATTTTTCAGTTATAAAATTACAGAGAAACATACTATACGGTGGTAAAATTTTACGTTTTTAAACTTGTTATAGCTTTAATGTTTTTTTTTTTACAATAAGCTTTAATGTGATGTAACCGAAGGTAATTACTTTCATAGTTTGTAATTACATGTCAAATGCTTTGAAAGTAGTTCAAGTAACTTCTTCAACTTTTAAATTCTTACTTTCAAAGAATCTCTTAGTTATATATTAATCATTTCATTTAATCATATAACTTTCTTAATTTGTGTTTATAAGTCATGTGACTTCAAAATAGATCAAGTAACTTTATCTAAATTCTTATCTCTAAAAAAGAAGTTATATTGCAAAGAATGGCCCAATTGCTATATCTCTCTTTATTCCCGAAAAGTAGTTATGTAGTATCTAAACTAGTAAGTTGTCGCAAATGAAAGTCTATGAACCCTTGACCATATCGTAGCAACAATTTACCAAGGGCAGCTGGAGAGCCGTTGCAACTTGGCCACTATTGGAGAAGGCTCTAAGTGGATCCTTTATGATTTGAGAACCAAGGAATAGAGTCAAATTTTGTGGTGGTAGCCTTGCTCCTTGTTGCTTGCAGAAGTTTGAAGGATAAATGTGCATGGATAGTAATTGTGGCCGGTTAGAGGATGCATGTATGCAGAGCATTATCAACTTTCATTTTAATTTGTCGGCAAATGACCAACATGGGTGTAGTGTTTTTTTTTTTTTTGAAAGTGGAGTTCATTAGATTAATAACTTGGCCAAACCCACAAGAGAAGTGTACAAGAAAACTACCAGGAAAGAAATGAAAAAAAAAACCAAAAAAAGAGGCCC